TGCACTATAGGATAAGCACTGGACTGCAAGGTTTGTTTGAATCGTAAAGGCCAGTGGTTCAAACTCACCAGCTGCTCCTCGGAAACCCTGTGCAAGGTCAAGATGAGTCAGAACTGACTTGATGGCACCTAAGTCAAATGTATTGCCACAAACTAGCACCCAAGTTTGCCTTTGACTTCAACAAAAAAATTATTATTTATCCCCATTCTTAGCCTGTACTTACTGCTCCCATGGACAGGAGATGCCCTGGTCTCTCGTGTTTTCAACCTTTACTTACTGAATCACAATTTTAACATCAATTCTTTTATATCACTTGAAGAGAAGCATATTTATAGAAATCTAGGGCCATTTTCCTTTACGCAAACTGAATCTCTCCCTAATGTTCTGGATTCAACTTTCTCATTTCAATGGACTTAAAAGCCAGGTACTCATTGTTGTTTTTGTTAAGTGCCATCGAATCAGTTCTGACCCACAGTGACCCTGTGAAGGGTTTCCTAGGAGTAGCTGGTGAGCTTGAACCACTGACCATGCAGTTCAAACCAACCCACAGTCCAGCACACGAATCCACAGCACTACAACCAGGTCTCCATAGTGTGTTACAAATTTCTCAATGCGGGAGGCAGGCACCATGTTGACATTTGAGAATATTTTAGGAGGTGTGTGGATGCCGTTTTCAATAAAGTTGAGTCAGAAGTGAGAAAACGTTTCCATTCCCTTCTGATTGCATCAGGAAGAAAGTTTCACTTCAGGTCCTAATGTTTCGCGCAATCTCCTTTTAAATAAAGGGAAAATCTCACTCACCTCTGAGTCTTTGGCAGGGAAGGGAAATCGAACTAGGATTCAATAATAATAGTGTTATTCTCATTGTATTTATTATGTCACGGTCAATTTCTATTTATGGCAAGTGGTTTTGGTTTTCCGTTTATGATGGAAATATTCACTTCTGAACAAATTTAGTTAATAGTCTATGTCAATAAAAACCTTAACAGGGCAGATGGTAGATAGATAAAGGCCAAAATAATAAAAGAGTGCAAGAATGACAGATTACCTTGGAAACTTCACTTTGATGGAAAGAATAGTGGATATTAGAATTAAAAGAATTGAGTCAGAAGTCCAACTTTGTTGGGACCTTGGGCCAATCACTTTAGCTTCCTGCAAAAAGTGGGAAAGGGTGGTGGGGGACATATTGTTATGCCCACCTGTTGGGTCAAAGATAATGAGGAATGTTTGGTAAATCGTAGGGGTGAGGGTCCTACAGGCACATAATATTATTACTGTTCCCCTATACCCTTAGGATTAACAATCTTTCATCCTTTGTAGACTTAAAGGATACATTTAGAGTCATATATGGATTCTGAATCCCTGAAGGCAAGACTAGCTCCTCATGGGGTCACTGGGATTAGTCTAGTGGTTCCGATGTGTTGCAGACCGTGTAAAACTGATCAGAAGTTCGAGGCCCACTGGGCCCGAGTATTGCAGACAATGCAGGACACACACAGGCTCTGAGGAACAGATTCTGGCCACTGGGCAGTCATAACAAATTGTTATTCATCTTAGTGTTCAGTTATGTTTTATTAATTCCAAACATGAGCCCTTAGTATCCACAGATAAATGTAATATTTTCCTAAAGCTGAGACTGTAAAGGTTTCAAGGGCAAGCCTTTCTCCAAAGGATTAACTGAAAATAGCTTAGCTACTTCCCGGTTCTTTGTTCTACAGACAAAAAAGCTATCCTCCCTAAATCTGTCCCAGGTGCTGGTTATTCAGCCAAGTTCCTGAAAACCTGGCTCAGGACGCCAAAACAGCAGGACTCCTCCCAAGCCTTTTGTCCTACCCTCTCACCTTCCCCCAACTGAGCTCAGGGGTATAGATATGTTAATTGAGCCTGAGAAACCAAGTTGCAGGCCTGGGATTCGAACCAGTGAAGTACGATGTAAAGTTACCTGAATGTCTGGAAAATTACTGGTGTTAGCTGTACCTTGTCTTAGTCCCTCCCAGCTTGGTGTGAAGCTCCTCCCCTAAATAAAACGGAGACGCAGGCCGGCCCAGGTGTGCATTACAGGCAGGCGGTGAAAGTGTGCTGTACAGATTGGATAACGAGCTGTGCGGTTGACTAGGCTTGTGTTACTGACTAGCTAGTAAGGGGTGCGTACTGCCCACTTAGCTAAGATGTTTACCATACAGGACCTTACTGCCCTTTTGGCTATTATGTTCACCACGCCAGAGCTGCCGGACACCAGTAATGCAACCATCCTGGTTTCGGGGTGCCTCTTTGTCCCCCTTTTTGTCTTTCTGTGTATTCTTTTGCTATCCCTGTCGCCGCCAGATATCCACTCCTCGTGAACCAAACACTCGTGTCGAGGCCAGTCCCCGACACCGATGGGGTTGGGAAGAACTAATGGAAGCACTGGTTACCATTCAGGGCCCCTCTCAGAGAAGCCTGGAGCCCCACTCTCCACCCTTTTCTAGACCCCTACTATAGACTGAGTCAGATGCACACAAGGATCTGGGGGGTGGCCTGTTGTGATGTATTGTTTCTTGAAACAGGTGTTCTGTAAACTGGGTAGGAAAAGTCGTGTAACAGATACTCTCCTCTTGGATCTTGACTCTGGGGCTCTTGTTCTGTTTAGTACCATAGTTTCTCCTGGAGGTTTTGGATTTTGGCAAGTGGCAACCATTGCCCTGGGGACAGAACAGGAGATAAAAAACTGTCAGCATTTCATCAGTTGTTGACTGATTTCTGGGCTATGGGAGAAAACTTGGTAAGATCCTGTGGGAGGAGAGAGAATGAGGGATCAAAATCAGACATGTGAAGTTCATGAATTGGAAAAGATGGCAAGCATGGATTCAAATGCCAATTGAATGGTGCAAACCCATCAGAACTGAACTTCAGTCCAAAGGTAAGAGACACTAAGAAGGTATGCTGGGTTGGTGTGGTGCTGTGGGTTAATGTGCCAGACTGCAAAGCCATTTGAACTGCAAGGTCGGCAATTCAAGCTCACCAGCTGCTCCTCGGAAACCCTATACAGGGTCGCTATGGGTCGGAACTGACTCGACGGCACTTCACAACAACAACAACAACAACAACAACAACAACAACAACAAGCAGGGTTGGAGAAGACTTCCGGTGGACAGTGAGCACACTGGAGGGCCAAGCTTCTCACAAAGCATTTTGCCCCCATTATCTCAGGTCATATTCACAACGCTTTTCAGAGATGAATACTCTATTCCCATTTAACCTGGGAGACAGTGGCCTTGAGAAGCTAATTTGTTGATGGCCAAACAGCAAGTTTAACTGATGCAAATGTAACTAGACCCTAGGTCTTTCTGAACCTAGATACGAGCACTTCATCACTACAATATACTCTCTCCTAGGATATTAGACATGAAAGGAGCTGAAAATTTTCCTTCAATGTAAACTCTCAAATAGGTAAATGTATTTGTCTCAGTTTGGCCAGTTTATAAAGGGTGGCTTCAAAAGTTCATGGAAAAAATCCATTATCTTTTAATTCTATTTTTCCATGAACGTTTTGAAGTTTTCTTATATGTGGAAAATTGATAGAAGATGGAGGAAAAGAGTAAATAGGTTTCAAAGGTCTATATTTAGATTCAAATTGTCATTTAACCTTCACAATACCCTATGAAGTAGATAGTATTATCAATGTACACATACAAATGCAAAGAAATTTGCTTACAGTTGGGAAACGAGTTTTACTAGCTCTGGATTCAGGTCTGCATGATAGTAAAGCCCAAGCTCTTCCTGTAACACCCCAGTGATTCTCCAAGTCAGGAAAGTGAGGTTGGTTGTGAAGATACAGAACTAAGAGCAACAGGGTATCCTGAAGAGTTGTGGCCAAGGGAATGATGGGATGGAAGCAGCATTATAGGAAAGCTCACTTGGTAGCATAAAGGCAATGGTGTCGTCAAGGTAGAACTCTCACTTTCCATGTGGAGATTCAGGTTGGATTCCCTGCCAATGCACCTTAAGTGCAGCCATTGCCAATCTATCAGTGGAGGCTTCCATGTTGCTAGGATGCTGAATGGAGTTGGCAAACTAAGACAGACTAGGAAGAAACGCCTGTCAAACTGCTTCTGAAAACATCCAGTGAGAATCTTATGGAGCACAACGGTCCTAGCTCATTGTGTACGGCCTTGTGAATTGGGAGCTGACTTGACAGCAACTAACAACTTAATGGGGTGTTGATGTTGAGAAGAGATTGGATGAGAACAGAATGGTGGCAGGGGGTGCTGAAAGCCCTGAGAGTGGTGCAGGCTCTTGATGAAATGCCTGGAGTCCAATGGTGAGTTAAGAAGGAGCAAACACTTCAGAGGCAACACTAAGCAAATATCCAAGAATTTTCAAGGTGTGATGAAGGGAACAAAAGGGAGGATGAATGATGATGTTGAGGTCTTGAGCTTTTGTGTCAGGGTGGATGGCAAAGCTTGAGATGGTCATGGGAGGCCAGGAAGAAGAGAGTCACCTCGGGAGGGGAGGATGAAGAGTCTGATTTTGGTTCTGCCAATTTTGAGAGGATGGCAAAATGCAGACAAGTGAACTGTCTACCAGGAAGTTTTCAGGGCTGGAGAGAACTATCTATCAGCACCTGAGAACCAGGAGGGGCAGGATAAAAGGAATACCATCAAAGCACATCTTGCTGTATCTACATACAAATACACCTAAAATGGGGTGTCATTCTACATCTTAATGAGAGAGACTCAGTGCAGCACACACACTCTGTCATAGCCCCCAACCCCAGGCTTGCTTGGAAGCACATATTAGTGTGGCTTAAGTAAGAAACCTAGATCCGATTTCTCTCCTTTCTCCAGCAAGTCTAGGGTCAAGAGCCAAGCAGGGGAATGCACAGATTTGGGATCAATCAACTGCAGTTTATTGGGTTGTATTTTGGTCTTCCTGTCACATGCCTCCCACCCACCTACCATTCTCCTCTTGCCCCTCATCTCCTGCTCCCCACCTTTAGGTCCTTCCCCACTCCACCTTACCTAAAATTCCCAGATACACTCTTTGGTAATATCTTCACTGTCAGCCAACAAAGTGCCGCTCCGGTCAGCTCGCAAGTAGAAGCCATTAGGCCCCAGTATGGTGAGCAAGTTGCTCCCCTGAAGCTCGATATAGAAGTTGAGGGCAAACTTTCCCCAAGGGCGGAAGGTGCCAAAGGATGTGATTGACCAGAAGGAGCCACTCTGCGCTGGGATGAGGAGGAGAGCTCATCAGTTCCAGCACTGCAGTCCCTGAAGTGGGCTCCTTAGAGGCATCCACCCTACCTGACTGCTCCAGCCTGGAGGTGTGGGCAGGCCCCTCTATGGCAATGAAGCAGACCAGTGGGGGATCCCCCTAATTTCCATTCTGCCAACCCACTCTGGGGCCTTAAAAGAATCAAGCTTTCTTTTTTTTATGATGATCAGGCCCTGGGGCAGGGTAGAGTGGATCCTTACCCTGGAAGTGGTAGATGCCCTGGTGACAGGGCAGTAGGTGGATACAGTCAGGCTGGTCCAAGTTGCACTGCATGAGGTCATGCTCCGACGAGGTGCCCACGTATCCATAGCGCCCTCGAAGTACCAGGAAGGGGCGGTTGGCTAACCGAATCCCGAATTCCTCATTGGGACCTGAGAGAAACAGGAATGGGTCATCGAGAGCATGTTTTCCTAGATGGAAGGAGGAAGAGAAAGACAAATTGTAAATGGATGTTTGTTGTCAATAGGAGGAGGTGTAAAAAAATTCACGGGAAAATTCCATTATCTTTTAATTCCATTTTTTCATGAACTTTTTTGAAGCTCCCTCGTATTTTTAACATTTAATGAGCACCTACTAAACACTGGACCAATAAACAACATTCTTATCAATGGAGAAAAGATTGAAGTTGTCAAGGACTTCATCTTCTTGGATCAACTATCAACACTCAAGGAAGCAGCAGTCAAGAAATCAAACGACAAACGTCGTATTGCATTAGGCAATTTTAAAGTGTTGAAGAGCAAGGATGTCAGCCTGAGGACTAAGATGCGCCTGACCCAAGCCATGATATTTTCAATTACCTCATATGCATGCAAAAGCTGGACAATGAATAAGGAAGACCACAGAAGAATTGATGCTTTTGAGTGATGGTGTTGGAGGAGAATATTGAAAGTGCCATGGGCTGCCAAAAGAACCAACAGATCTGTGTTGGAAGAAGTGCAGCCAGAGTGCTCCTTGGAGGCCAGGTTGGCCAAATTTCGTCTCTCATACTTCAGACATATTGTCAGGGAGGACCAGTCGCTGGAGACTGGTTTGGTATGGTGGAGGGTCAGAGAAAAAGAGGAAGACCTCCAGCTAGATGGATTGGCAAAGTGGCAGCATCAATGGGTTCAAACATAGCAACAATTGTGAGGATGACCCAGGATCAGGCAGTGTTCTATTCTGTTGTGCATAGGGTCACTATGAGTTGGTACCGACTCGATGGCAAATAACAACAATAAACTAAACACCTGGTGTGGCTTTATGGGCTAATGCGCTGGACTGCGAAGTTGGTTTAAACCATAAGGTCGGCAGTTCAAGGTCACCAGCCACTCCTTGGAAACCATATACAGATTGCAATGGATCAGAACAGACTTGACGGCACTTAACAACAACAACTAGCATTGGTGCTTGTGGGATGTTAGTGGAGGCACGTAGCACAGTACTGAGCTCACATATCTTTCTTCCTTTGAGATATGTGAGAGTATTCAATGCTCGTGATAGCCTGTGAGCAGGTAGGGGGTGGGGTGGGAAAATCATCTCCTTTTTCTGTAGACACACAACGGAGGCTCAAAGAGGTGGTTTGCCCAAGCGACTACAGAAATTCAGAGACAGCGTGAGTACACAAATCCAGATCTTCTAACCCCAACTCCAGTTCTCTCTCATGCCCAGCTCCCTCTAGAAGCACACTTGACTCTGAATCACCTGCAGTTGGACCGCTCTGCTTACCTGGAATGGTGGCATTGGCTACCAGCAGGCCGTTGGCTGTGACCCCCAGGAAGCGCCCATTGGAGGACTGCAGCATGATCCGGCCACAATTCCAGTGTACACGGAAGAAGGTATCAGACTCCAGAGGGTGCCCATCAGCCACCACTGTCCTATGGCGTCGCTAGAGAATAGTGGGAACAGAGTGGGGGAGCAAGGGCTGAACATCTCAGCGTTCTTCCTATCGTAATTCTTATCCCCTCTTCCCCACATCCCACCCACCAACCATTTCACTCACTCCCCCTGGGCATACTTCCTGTGTTCAGATCCTTTATGTGGATAACATGTTGTGCCCCTAGACTCCTACTGCCAGCCTGTGTTGTATCCCAGAGCCTAGCACCCAAGGGGCCTGAGTAGACTTGTACATATAGAGAAAAAACATCTCAGTCCATACACCAATGTCATCTGGAACTAGATCCAAGCCACAAAAGTGAAAGCTAAACTATAAACCTTGGAGGAGGAAATCTTTGTGACTTTGGGGGTCACACAATGATTTCTTGTCCATTTTTGTCCTGGTGCTATAAGATAAGCACTGGGCTGCTAACTGCAAGGCTGGTGGTTAAAACCCACCAGTTGCTCCTCAGAAACCCTACACAAGGTTGCTATGATTTAGAAATGACAGCACTTAACCACAACAACAACCATTTAAATAAAAATGGACAAACAGAACTAGAACTTCATCAAAATTTAAAAGTTTTCTTTTCAAAAGACACCTTTAAAAAATGAAAGAAAAAGAAAAAGAAGCCACAGACTAGGAGAAAGTATTTATAACATATATATGTGACAAAAGGCGCTATGGTAGCGAGGTGGTTATGAGTGGGACTTCTAACATCTCAAGGTCAGCAATTAGAAACTACCAGCTGTTCCTCAGGAGAAAGACAAGGCTTTCTACTCCTATAGAGATTTACAGCCTCAGAAACCTCATGCAGGGTCGCTAGGAGTTGGAACCAACTGCATGGCCCACCACCATCACCACCACATTTGACAATGGACTTGACTTCAGAATATTTAAAGAACTCTTACACTTCAATAATAAGACAAACAACCATATTAAAAATAAGCAAATGATTTAAAAAGACACGTCACAGAGAAGATATACAAGTATCCAATGTTGTTACTGTTGTTAAGTGCCATTGAGTCGGTTCCGACTCATAGCAACCCTTTATAGAGTTTCTGAGGAGCAGCTGATAGGTTTGAATTGCTGACCTTGTGGTTTTCAGTTCAGTACTGATCCTAGCACCGCACCAGAAGTCTGACTCAAAGCAACCCTATACAGAGTTTCCAGTTAGAGAGGATAAAATTAAAAGAACGGACAATACCAAATGTTGACAAGCGTTCAATGTAGTCAGATCCCTCATACATTACTGGTGAGAATGTGAAATGATACTCACTTTATAAAACAGTTTGACATTTCTCTATAAAGTTAAACACACATGTACCATATGATTCTAGATATTTACCCAAGATACACACACAAAGCCTTGTATATAAATGTTCACAACAACTTTATTCACAATAGCTCACACTGGAAACAACCTAAATATTCATCTACAGATGAATGAATAAACAAATTATGTTTGTGTTGATGAATAATAAGGAGCTTGAGAGACACAAGTGGTTTTTGATCAACTGTTAACCCAAGGTTGATGGTTCAGGCCCATCCACTGGCTCCAAGGAAGAAAGGTTTGGTAATCCACTTTTGTAAATATCAAAGCCAATAAAATGCTATGAAACAGTTCTATTCTGTTACACATGGGATCGCCATGAATAGGGGGCTAAGTAGTGCTCAGCAACAAACAGAAATGAACAACTGATGCATGTAACATTATGGATACATCTCAAAAACATTATGCTGAGCAAAAGAACATGTTGTTGTTGTTGTTGTTAAGTACCGTAGAGTCAGTTCCGACTCCTAGTGACCCTGCACAGGGTTTCCAAGGCCGCAAATCTTTACGGGAGCAGAAAGCCTCATCTTCTTCCCGTGGAACAGTTGGTAGTTTCAAACTGCCAACCTTGAGGTTAGCAGCCTGATTTGTAACCAGTACGCTACCAGAGCTCACCCACTACCTATATACCATTTAAAATTCTTTTGTAGGCAAATCTGATTTGTAGTGACAGCCTGGGGCCAAAAGTGGAGATGAAATGACTATTAAGGGGCAAGGGCAAATTCTGGAGGTGACAGAAATATTTTCTAGCTTGATTGTCACATGGCTACATGGATATATGTATTTCTCAAAACTTACTAAGTGGTACACTTGAAAATGGATGCATTTTATTGCATGCAAATTGTGCCTAGATCAAGTTGACCCAAAAAGAGAGGTTCCGTTGGATGTAGACGACCATTTATTCACAAAAAAAGCATCCACAATGTTCCTCACACTTCACTTGCACCTTTGACCATGTGGTCATCTGTCTAAGAATGGAGAAGGAATGGCTCAGGGCTTAAGGCAGAGACGGAAAAGAAATTCTCACCTGGGCTAGGTAGTAGCCATTGACTGAACGAAGCTGCAGAGTGGGGGTCTCCCTGTCACATTCAAACTGGAACATGGCCATTGGGGTTAAGTGCTCCGAGGCAGCATACACCTCAACATCTGCAGAGAAGAACTTGTCAGAGGGAGACACGAGTCCTGGCCTCCCCTTGTCCCTCAGTCTCAGCCTCTCTTCTTGCATTGCCACTGGAATGCTCTTTGCATTCCCTCTTCAGCCTTGAGCATCTTAACGTTGGATGAACAACGTGGTAGCCTGGAGAAGACCCAACTGACTTTCCCCTAAAGTCCACGTCCCTGCTTTCATGTCCTTCTCCATGGTACAAGAGACTCCATGGAACCCCAGGATCTTACTTATCAGCAGGTTCAACAAACCTTGCATATCCCAAACATACTTCCCTCTTTTCCACAGCCAACCCTCTCTCCCGGTTGTGCTGGCCCCAGCACTTGCCGTAGAAGACAGAGACCAACTTCCGTGCCTTTGACTTGAGGCTGACCCAGGCTGGACAGTGTTGTAGGATGAACCACTCCTCGCCTCGACAGGGACTGGAGCCCAGTCCTAGGAGCAGCCGTGGGCCCTGTGGGTAGAGCATGCCCCCTTCTCCATCGCTCAGCGCCACCAGCCCTCCAGGCCGCACTTGCATGTGAAAGATGGTCTGAGATGAGGGCTGGGAGACCAGCCGGTCCAAGTGGGACAGGAAAAGGTGTGTCGAGGTCTCCAGGTGATAGCAGCCATCTTGGAAATGCAACAGGAAGCCACACTCCTTTAGACAGGGAATGGGAGTGTCCACCCAGACTCGGCCGACAGTGGGGTCCGCCCGTGCGTAGCAGCGGTTGAGGGGGCTGTAGAGGGTCACGTGGACGTGCAGGGCTGGCCGCGGAGTCCACATGTGATAAGCTGAGAGGACCCTCGATTTGCAGAACACATCCTTGCCGTCCGACTCCAGGTAGTGCCCAGTGATCATGCACTGGAGGGTCCACTTACCGTTCCGGTGGAAACGCAGCAGGAAGCACCCATGGTGGCTGTTCCTGGGCCTCCCGTAGCACACAGAGCCATCACCGTCCGACAGCAGGCAGAGGCCCTGCAGGCTTCTGAGTCGAACCACTGCCTGTGACTCTTGTTCATTGCTCACCAGGAGCTCCCACATCTGGTACATCAGGAGGGAGATGGGGGAGATCAGCCCTGCCAGGTGAGTAACCCAAGGAGCCTGACCACATCACTCCTGATACCACCCTAGCACCACCTTCCTTCCCTCTCTGCATCAGCCCTGGGGTCTTCTGCTCTGACCCTCCCAAGTAGCAGCAATCCGAAAGATCTCAGGGCACCCCTGGAGCCAAAGTGCTTCTCAAGATTCAAAGGAAGGTTCTAGATGCCCACTTCCTCCAAGTAACAGAGGTAAGCTGTATTCTCCCTTTCTTGATCCATTTCTTTTGGTAACGGATTTTCTAAGAAATGCTTTCTTTTCAGTCTTGCCTCTCTCCTCCTTGCTGATGGTGATAGTGGATAGAACACTCAACTATGCCTCTAGCCCCAAGACCATTTCCCCAACATGGCAGGAGAAAAGCAAGACTCTTAGAGGTGGGTCCAGGCTTCCCTGGGGGGCCCTCTCCAGAAATGAGCGTGGAAGAGTGACAGCTGAAGTGCACTTGTCAGGTTTAGTCTAGTGACAAGTGAGACCACTGTGCTCCTGCCTTGTCCATGTAGTCACTCCACAGACGCCAAGGTCCCTCTCTAAAATGGAGGCCAACTCTCCTAGGACTGCTGAGACCCCCATTCTGCCTAAACTGTAACCAGAACCAAACCATAGACCTGTCCACTGCTCCTGGACCCTCCAACTCTCTGTGATGACACTAGTAGGACAAGGTGAGGTTAGGGCTGGGGCTTCCCGGAGTAGGACAGGTTTAGAGAGGAGAGACAGAGCAATGGAGACCCATGGGCAAAAGCCTGGAAGAAGGAGGGTCTTGGCTTGGTGATGATTAGGTTGATAGTGCACCCCTCCACCCCCAAAGGAGACCTTGACCACTTAAGACAGTTGGTTCCAGCACAGGTTTGCTTTGTTACCTGTCTCTTGCCCAAGCCCTTTGCTGTAGCAGTGACCGTATTCTTATAAGCCTCAAAAGTGAGGTAGGTTCCTGCCCAGCTGATGAGCCCAACCCTTAGGTCCTCGGACTTGGGCCGCCTCTGCATCCACTCTGCCTCCTCCATGGGGCTGGTACTATAGGCGGTGATTTGGTCCGGCCCAGCCTTTCCCCCAGTGGTGAGATTCCACAGGCCATAGGGCCCAGATGAGCCCTATAGTGCCCACCAGAAGGGGTCCCCAGAGGGAGCTTTCGGGTAGAGACTGGCCCTGGGCCCAGCACCTCTGTGACCCGGCAGCATTATGACTGTGGGGGATACCTCTTATCTTGCCACAGTGGGGAAAGGGCATTGGTGCAACAATCCCTGACCCAGAGGAAGTGGGTCCACGGCTGTGGCCTTCACCTCTGTCCAGCACCCCAGGCAGAGGCTGGTGAGGATTGGAATCTGAACTGCAGCCAGTGCTACGGCCCACCTGTAACTCAAGTAAGTCCCTCCCCCTCTACACTGGTTTCTCATTTTGGTTAACAGGAATGAATCCAGCCACTTTCCTCCCTAGGAAGTGGGGTCTGCCTGGCTCCTTGGAGACACCAATGCTCTTTTGGTATTCAAGGGAGCCAAGAAAAATCGATTAAGCTTCAAGGGCCTTGGGGTGACGAGGCTGACAGGTCTTAAAAGTTACTTTATATTTTTGATATTGTGAATATACCAGGAGGCTTTCAAAAAGTTCATGGAAAAATGAAAATGAAGAGGATGGAATTTCCCCATGGCCTCTGTGAAGCCCCCTCATACACAGCAGAGGCAGTTCTTTCACGCACAACTTGGTGACACTGATGACTGGGTTGTGTGACAGTTCTCATCCTGCTTTTCCAAGCTGCCCCTCCCCCATGGACAAACTCACTGCCACCTAAACTTCTATTTCATTTTTCGAGTTCCTGTTGTCCATTTGATTCCATGTAAACAACTGCAAGGTCAGTGGTTCAAACCCACCAGCCGCCCTGCAGGACAAAGATGAAGCTGTCTGCTACTGTAAAAACGTACAGTGTCTGAAACTCAACAGGAACAGTTCTACTTTGTCCTATAGTCTACTGAGCTGGAGTCTACCAGACAGCAGTGAGTTTAGATGGAGCTTAAAAGAACACAACGCTCAAGGCAGACCATCTTTACTAGTTAAAACTACTGTTTGGTTTCAAGACTTCAGAGATTTTTAAAGTTGAAAGATGATCTCAGGGCAGTAGTTGATCTAGCCTCTACAACTCCAGAAAGTCTGGGGTCCATGAGAATAAGAAATTGTTCTACATTTTGTTCTTCAGAGTGAGAGAACCCTTAGATGCCCAGAGAAGATGAAATCACTCTTATTATTAACCAGGAAGGGGGGGCTCAGGACCAGGGTCAGGAGGAGGACTCAGGTGGTGGGAGTCCTCAACGACACTGCTGGTAGGTGGACACTAGCAGGTAGCCTTTAAGGACACCAGTCCTCTTCCTCCAGGTTAGCAGCTTCTGGGACTGATTTCTGCAGTGTGTACCGACAAGACCCAGCCAGGAACTGGAGACACTGACAAAGTGGGGAAAAGGCAAAAAGAAATGGTGGCGATGGGTCTTTCGGCAGCTCTGCTGTGACCCACGAGTCAATGACGCTGCAAGAAGAGGCCACATCCTGGCTCGCTGCATGTGCTTTCCCGGTCTCCAGAGGTGGGGTCCTCCCAGGGAGTCCTAGTGGTACTCAGCAAGGAACGGTAAGCCCCACGTTCCATGTTTCGTAAAATATGGTTAACAGCGTACTCGTGCCAGATGAACAAATGTGTTGTGTAGGAGTACAGCCAGACTGCTCCTTAGAAGTGAAGATGGTGAGACTGTCTCTCGTTCTCTGGACATGTTGTCAGGAAAGATCAGTCCCTGGAGAAGGAATCATGCTTGACAAACTGGAGGGTAGTAAAAAACAGGAAGACCCTCAACGAGCTAGACTGACAGAGTGGCGGCAATAATGGGTTCAAACGTAATGACTGTGAGGATGGCCCAGAACTGGGCAGTGTTTGGTGGTCGGCAGAGGGCCACTGTGAGCTGGAACCAACGTGACAGCACCTAACAAGTGTCAGACTCACCTGTGTGATCTTGAAAATGCCTATTTTCGGGCTTGAGACCAGTGCTAATGAATCAGTTTCTGGGGTTACAGCTTAGGATCCTGCATTTTTAACACAAATTTCCTCCCCCTTCCCTCAAATTTTAATGTACTGAGCAATGAAGAACCACTGTTTTGAGTAGCTAGAGTTGGGTGGGAAAGGGGACGTTGTGTGGTTTTCAGAATCCTGAAGGTAGCTCCTGTTACTACCAGCAAAGGCTTCTTAGAGTTTGGGAAGGAATGGGTTTTTCTCAATTGGAAACCATAAAGTGTCTCCAGTCTCAAAAATAAGATGGGGGAAACTAAGCTAAATGAGATCTACTATGTGAGAGGGGGTTGGCCTTGCAAACTTAGCTGATCTGAGTCTCCTCCAGTCACCCATTACCCCACTGCTAGGCTGTACACAACACCGCATACAAACCACAGCAAATTTATTACTCGATACCAGTGCCATGTCACAGCACCACCCAGAGCCCTCGAACCCAGTGCCACGTCTTAGCACTACCCAGAGCCCTCACTTTCCCCCCACCTGGCCCCAAGGGTACACCCCAAATGGAAAAGCCCCAAAGCAAACCCAGATCCCTGCTCCTCCTCTGGAAGCAGGGGTCTTGGCCCTGGGAGCCCCTTGCACAGGCCCCAGCAAACAGGAGTGGACCCCTCTGTGCCGAGAGCGAAGCTCCAGGCTCCAACAAGAGAGAGAACATGCAGACGGAAGTGGGAACGGGAGGGAGAAGAGGCCCAAGTCGGTTGAGGGGTGGGGGGTACAGGAGGGGTGGAAGAGAAGGGAAGGGCACTGCCTGAAAAGTCCCAAAGTCGGTCATCCTGGGAACCACGTGGGAGCTTCCGGAAGGGCAGCAGGGGCCTGCCCTGGCTTGTTAGCGTTTTGACAGCTCGTGGGACAGCCAGTCCAGCCCATCGTACAGGCCTGTGCCTTGGGTGGCACAGGTGGCCTGGACATACCACTGCGGGGACAAAGAAAGAACAAGGTGAGCTATGGGGCAGATGGGACACCGTGGGAGGCAGGCCCCGGGGTGAGCTGGGTGGGCCCTCACCGTGCGGCTGCGCAGGTGCTGGAGGCCCAGCTTGTCTGTCAGCTCGCTCACAGGCATGGCGTTGGGCATGTCCTGCTTGTTGGCAAACACGAGCAGCACCGCATCCCGCAGCTCGTCTTCCTGCAGCTGAGAGGAGACGAGAGGGAACTGTGCCAAGGAGTCCCCACTTTCTACCTTTATGAACATTCCATCATCTACTGCTCAATGCAACGAGTTAAAATTTCAATGAATTTGGGGCCCTGGGAATGCAAATGGTTCATGCACTCAACTGCTAACCGAAAGGTTGGAGGTTCAAGTCCACCCAGAGGAAACTTGGAAGGACCAGTGATCTACTTCTAAGAAGTCAGCCATTCAAAACCGAATGGTAGACAGTTTTATTCTGACATGCATGGGGTCACATGTCAGAATCGATTCGATGGCAACTGGTCCAATCTGAGGCCACTAAGGCCTCGAGTCTAGAAAAGGTCTTTTTCTAATTTGAGTACCTGCCCCTGTCAAGATGACAAGATGTTCATGGGAAAACACCAAATATATAAGCTAATGCTTCTTCTCTCCACCACATATAATCCCTCCTGACCCCACCAACTTCTCAGATTCAGACAAGAAAAGAGGAGAACCCAAGGAAAAAATCAGTTCTATGCTTTCTACCTGTTTCAGACCTAAGGCAGAATGAGAAATACAACGTGTCTGTGGTCACCAGGAGACCAATACAAACTCCTGACCCCCACACCTGCAGAGAGACCTTTCTGCCCCCCTCCAAGGAAGCTCCGCTCCAGGGCACCAGATGCTCACCATCTTCTGTAGTTCATCCGCCGATTCCTGGACCCGCTCCCGGTCATTACTATCCACCACAAAGATGAGGCCCTGGAAGAAAAGGAGCAATCACATGCCATGGAGACATTCCTTGTTTCATCCTTCCCTCTTCTCTGCTTTAACACGTCATGAGTCAAGTTTCTACTATGGCTCTGTGCATGGGCTGGCACAGGTGGGAAACACCAGTGCCTGCGCTCGAGGAGCAAATGTGTGATAGAAGGTGTGTGACCAGAGTGACATCAGGCCCATGGACCCTACTTCTCAGAGAAATTTAAGGTGGCTAAGTCTCAGGAGAAGGCTACAACGGAGGAAGGGAGAAGGGCTGCTTTCTGGCATGGGGCCTCCTCCCTCACAGCTCTGATGCCTCTGCCCCTGGGGTTGAGGGGACTCACACCCACCTGAGTGTTCTGGAAGTAGTGTCGCCACAGAGGCCGAATCTTGTCCTGGCCTCCCACATCCCAGACTGTGAAGCAGATGTTCTTATATTCTACAGTTTCCACATTGAAGCCTGAAGAACGTTGGGAAAAACACTGAGAAAAAGTCCTGTAAGGAAGCATTTCACTAAAAGTACTGAGTTGTTAGCAGAGACAAACCCAGAAGGCAACGACCAAGGCCCAAAGGACCAGAACCCTAGAGGGCTGCTGGTCAACAGCTGGGCGGAGTTCCCCACAAGCACCCGCCACGAGCACCATCAGGCACGTAGAGATAAGATACCGTGACCCACTTCTCAAGTGGCCTATCTGGTGTCCCGGTGAGAGATAAGGGCCTAAGGCACAGGCCTGCACTCCTGCTCCTCCCAGCCTCGTCCCCCGGCTCACCTATGGTGGGGATGGTGGTGACAATCTCCCCCAACTTCAGTTTGTACAGGATTGTGGTCTTGCCAGCTGCATCCAAGCCAACTGCAAAGGAGAGGGGGCAAAGAGATGGGAGATGGGAGCGAGGGAGCCCTCTAGAGACCAGGGACAGGGAGCGGCCAGGACGGCGGGCGGTGACGGGGGCGAAGAGCCGGCGCCTCCAGGTGCGCGCTGTCCTCAGCCCTGGAGGCTTTGCGGGCACTCTGGATGGGTGCCAGCTCCTGTCCAGCAAGTGGGCTGAGGGGGGTGGAGAGAACCGGGGACAGGGCAGAAGGCCGCGATCCTCTGAAAACTCGTCGCTATGGGCGCAAGCCTCCCTACTCACCAGCCGGGCTAGGGTGGAGGAAGCAGTACCGCCCAGGCCCAAAGCTCCCGGTCCCAGGCCCCAAGGCGGTGCCGCAGCCCGGACCCGCCCGAGAGCAGCGGCCGGGCGCCTAGGAGGTGGATGGGGCGGGGTCGGAGCCTCGGGGGCGCCCGGCTGGAGGGCGCGGGGGCGGAAGGGCTGTTTTGGGCCCGCTCCCCGCTCTGGGCCGCGCGCGTGGGTTGCCTCACCCATGAGGATTCGCATCTGCTTCTTCCCGAAGATCCGCGAGAACAGCGCGGACACTGTGAGGCCCATGGCGGGGCCTGCGGGCGCGGGGTGCGGGCTGGAGCCGGCCGGCCGCGGGGGGGGGAAGGGACGCAGCAGCAGAAGGAGGCGCCGACACCGCCTCCGCGCGTCCCGGCCCGCCCTGCGTCACCGTGGCCCGCCCCCGCGGATCCCCGCCCCCTTTACGTCACCGTGGTCCGCCCTCGGGCCCCGCCCCCAGGCAGCCTCAGCCCCGCCCCTTAGGCCCTGGCTCAGGAGAAGTGACGCTGTCATCCTCGCTTGTCCCATGCTGGCTTGGAAGACGCCAAGAGTTTAGGCCTTTCCGGTTCCCAGTGAACCGGTCAGGGCTGTGGTTGCAAATCCTGCAGTCCGAGCGGGCGGAGGGAAGGTTACTTGTTCTGCAGCGGCTTCCGCCCGGTTTTCAGTAATTAACCACTGGGACTTGGGTATGTTGAGTCCAACGTCTCACTCTGGATTCGGGTTTCGCCTTTGGTAGTCAGCAGCACCCACTGTGCCCACCACCCTCCTTGTTAGGCGCGTGGAGTCGCCTCTGACTCAGCAATCTTCTGTACAACCGATGGAAACACATCGAATGACTGTGTCAATTCATCTTGTTGAGGGTCTTCCTCTTTCATTAACCCTCTACTTTAACTAGCATAATGTCCTTCTCAAGGGACTGGTCCCTCCTGATAACATGCTCAAAGTACGTGAGACAGGTCTTGTCATCCTCATTCTAAGGAACATTTTGACTGTACTTCGTCCAAGACAAATTTGCTCTTTCTTCCGCCAGTCCATGACATTGACAATATTCTTTGTGGATACCATAATTCAAAGGCATCAATTCATCTTTCATTTTCCTTATTTAATGTTCAACTTTTGCATGCATATGAGACGATTGAAAATACCGTGGCTTGGGTCAGGTTCACTTTGGTCCTCAAAGTGACATCTTTGCATTTTAGCAATTTAAAGAGGTCTTTTGTAGCAGATTTTCCCAACGCAATATGTCATTTCTTTCTTACACGTGTTTAGTGAGCGAGGGGACAGACAGCAGAGAAAGCGCTATATACAGTTGGTACAGGCTTAGAGACAGCCGTAGTCTGCTCAGCAGGGCTGGCCAGCAGCATTCTGGGGCTGGTAACACTTGGTTGGTGGGTGAAAGCCCATAGAGAATCTTGTGTGAGGCTGTGGAGATCCGGAGGCGCTCTGGTTTGAGGTTTCTCGTGATGGTGGTAGTTCCGAGCTCAGCTCAAGTCATTCAGGGCCTTGCTGGCAAACTCAGGCAGCACAAAGGCAGCCCCGTGTATGTCTGAGTGGTACTGTCGCAGCAGGCTGAAAGTCAGCGGCTGCACAGGCTCCCGGAAGTTGGTGTTTGGGTTCTTGCTGCAAGGCATGAAGCAGAAATGGCCTCTTGGGTAGAGAGGGGATAGTGTAGTAGGCGTAGGCCACCATATGGAAGAGCGATTTGCAGAACTGCCGCATCTCCTTGAAGAGGTCCAGGTGCAGCCACTGGCACTCACCTTGGCAGCAGAGAATGCCGTCCTCCTTGCTGGCGATCTTCATGACTCCTTGACGCTCTCAGCGGGGCCCATAAGGTTTGAGGATCCAGTGATGATAGATAGCATCAAAGGCATTCTGGTTCTGGCTCAGGAACTCAAAACCTTCACCCCTATGGAGGGTCAGCTTTGAGCTGGAGTAGCCAACAGCCAAGCTCGGCAGGAAGTTTTTAGAGAGTGAAGGACATCCTCAATTTCACACTGGACCTCGGCCTCCACTGGAGGGTGTTTCACCGCTTTCCGTAGGACGTGTCCGCCCCTGCCCCCGCTCCCATTGATCAGCATCTTTCACAGGTTGGGATGACTGCAGAGAGGCAGGGACATTCATCTCTTGGTAGGAGAATTCATCCCTCTCTTCATCCCTCTCTGTGACCCGGATGAAGCCGTCCAACGTCCAACACCTGCACGTTGCCATAGGTCTTATTGCAGAAGCAAGGATGTCTTGGTACCGGGAGTGCTAATAGTGTAGCAGCGGCTCCACCTGTAGCGACAAGGCCTGGCCAGCCTGCAGGTCTCTGTGAACCAACCCTCACCGATGGAGTCGGAACGGGGGGGCAGACACCATGGCAAGCAGGCCCGAGACTACAGACCCTGTGGAGCCACAAGCACACTGGGACCAGCTGTCATTTATTTCTTGGCTGCTGCTTTCAGGGGCGTTGGTTGTGTGTCTAAGTAAAATGAAATCCTTGAAACTTCAATATTTTCTCTGCTTATCATGATGCTTATTTGTCCCACTGTGAGTTTTGTTTTCTTTACAATGAATTGTAATCCACATTGAAGGCTGTATGTAGTCTTTGACTTTCATCAGTAAATGCTTTAAGCCCTCTTCACTTTCAGCAATCAAGGTTGTGTCCCTGCAAGGGTCTTGTTCCTTCTTTTTGCCTTATCAACTCCTAGTAAGGGGCTTTGCACATAGTAAGCAGTTTGTGACTTGGTTGAGGAATGTGGTAGAGATGAGGAAAGAATTTGCCCAAGAGATAGTTAGCTCCATAGCTCTAGCCTGGACAGCACAAATGGAAGATTCTCAGCCTTGCTGACTGAACAATTTCACTGTCACTTGCAGCGCCTGGAAATGCTACCCTTCAGTTTGGGCCCTATCAGCTTTTCTGAACTTCCTTACTAACTTTGCCATAAGCTTGAGGACCTGCATACCTACCCTGGATTTTGGGAGGATCTTGTCTTCCTGACTCAAAGAACTTCACAAGTAATCTGCATCCTTCATTTTAGCATCTGAGGGGCATCACATTAAGGCAGAAATTAACTTTATTTCTATATTAATGTGTGTCATCTAACTGATGTTGAACCGTTGAACTGAATTGGTCAGAAGCTCAGTGGAGCAAGGGCAGGAGTCAGGCCTATTTTCCACTGGGTTTCTAGAATCAATTGCTTATGGATTGGACATGATGAGGTCAACTGGGAATCAGAGAACCGTCATTCATTCAACAAATCTTGAGTGTCTACTATGAATCAACTCTGTTCCGGGCCCCCTAATTGAATAATCCAACGCTTTTGCCATTTTCTCATCTATGTTGTTGTTCTTAGTTGCTATCGCATGGTGATCCAATGTTACAGAGGAGGACTGCCCCATAGATTTTTCTTGGTTATAATCTTCATGGAAACAGATTGCTTAGTCTATTTCAGAGCTACTACTGGGTGGACTTGAACCACCAACCAGGAGATTAACATCTACCCTTCCTATTTGACTACAACCTTTAGTATGGATTATACCTCAGTACAAAGAGAACAATCTTCACAATTGACCAATAGGGAACATCATGATAAAGGGAGAAAAAATTGAAGTTGTCAGGGATTTTGTTCAACTTAGATCCCCATGAAAGCAGCTGTCTAGAAATCAAATGATATATGGCATTGGACAAGTTTGGCGTAAAAGACCTCGTTAAAATGTTAAAAAGCAAAGGTGTCACTTTGAGGACTAAGGTGCACCTGACCCAAACCATGGTCTTGTAATCACCTCTTATTCATTTGAAAGCTAGACAATGAATAAGAAAGGCTAAAGAGGAAAGCATGCATTTGCATTATGCTGTTATGGAAAAATATTGAATATACTGTGGACTTCCAGAAGAATGAACACATCTGTCTTGGAAGAAATATAGCCAGAACGTTCTTTAGAAGCAAGGATGGCAAGACTTTGGCTTGTATACTTTGAGTGTGTTATCAGGAAGGATCAGTCCCAAAGAAGGACATTATGCTAGGTAAAGTAGACAGTCGTCAATGAAAAAGAGGAAGACACTTAAGAAGATAGGTTGCTAATGACTGTAGGAATAGGCTCAAATATAGCAACAGGACCAGGCAAATTTTTAATTTGTTGTACATAGGGTTCCTATGAGTTGGAACTGACTCAATGTCACCTAACAATAACAACAACAACATCTCAAGGGGCTATAGATTAAAATGATGAGATTATGCATCTGAACATTTTGTCTTCTGCAGCTGGATGATATCAGGGCCACTAACAAACTGGGTCTGAACAGACTCTAAGGCCTGCTCCATCCTGACCCAGGTATGAATGATTGCATGGCGTTCCTTTCCTCTTCAGTCACAGACTTCCATTCCCAAGAAGCCTTCAAGGGTCCCAAAGTACATTTAAAGAGTCCCAATAAAATACCACAACTAGTGGTCAACCAAGTAAAGTAAATGCTACATTCTTAGCTCTTTATCAGCCTCTTTTTCTGCATTCTGTTGTCATTACCCAGTTTTATAACCATCTCATCACCATATCTTCCTGGTGTGGCACTTGGATTATAATGTGCCAGACTGCAAGGTCGGTGGTTCAAGCTCACCAGCCGCTCCTTAGAACCCCTATACAGGGTTGCTATGAGTTGGAACCAACTTGATGGCACTAAATGACAACATTTACACTGAAAAAGCATCCTCACAGGTCTACTCCTTGGTTTCACTACCCTGTTTTACAAATGTTGAGGATGCTACTTGCCGTGTGATGGATTGCTTTTATATGGCCTTTCTGGCTACTATTTTGTAACACCTACTCAATGATTGGGTTGTTGGTGGTGTTAAGTACTGTTGAGTCAGTTCTGACTCATAGAGACCCTTTACATCTTTGTAAGAGCAGAACCTCACCTTCTCCCGCAGAGTGACTGGTGGACTCAAACTGCCAACTTTGTGGTTGGCAGTCCAGTGCTTTTGTATGGAGCCACTGATCTCCCAATGACTGGGTGTTGTTGTTGTTTCTGAGTGCTGTCGAGTCTGTTCCAATCCCTAGTGACTCTGTATAGGGTTTCCCAGGAGCAGCTGGTGAGTTTGAACCATAGACCTTGAGGTTCAAACGACTTTACAGTCCAGTGCATTAACCCACAGCGCCACACCAGGTCTCCAGTGATTGGATGTGACAATGTAAATTGGGTTCATGAAGTCCTATGGGGGTGGGGAATAAAGTGTATGGAACCCTAAGGAGGGTTCTTGCTAAGCTTAAAATGAACCATCCCAGAGGCAGAAAGAGGTAGTCTGACTACCACTGTAAAAAGA